TTTTTTTTTTTTTATTCCCCAAAATTCTTTTTTTATTACTCTAGTTGTTAAATTATTTTTAATGACTAAAAATAATTTTTTTTACTAATTTTTATTGGATAAAAAAATATAAAAAAATTTTTGAGGTAAATTTTTAAAAATAATTTTTTTTATTGATTTTTATTGGATAAAAAAAATTTTTAAAGTAAATTTTTAAAAATAATTTTTTATTGTTCAATTAAGATTGAAAAATTGATTTTTTTTAATTACCGACAATACTTTTTTATTACTCTAGTTGTTAAATTATTTTTAATGACTAAAAATAATTTTTTTTACTAATTTTTATTGGATAAAAAAATATAAAAAAATTTTTGAGGTAAATTTTTAAAAATAATTTTTTTTATTGATTTTTATTGGATAAAAAATTTTATGATTTTTTAAATTCTTATTAAAAAATTGATCATTTTATCTTTTCGTTTGAAGATAAAATAAAAAGGAAAAAAAAAATATAGATCTATAAATTATTATCTTAGATTTGAAATGAAATTAAAAATTGATATTTTTTCCTGAGATAATCATTATTATTATTAATTTATTATTTTATATTATATATTATATTACAAAGTTAACGAAAGTATAACTATTTTTAATTTAGTGATAATAAGACACTATCGATAAAAAAAAGGTAAAAATAAATAAAAAAATGAGAATGAGAATGAGAATATCAAAGTCCACATTGGAGAAAACTGGTTTAGCAATAGAAAGAGAGAATGGAGAGTATCAGCAGCATATATGTATACTAAATAAGCATAGGCGATAAATGAGATTGATGATAATGAGCGAATCTGACCGACGCGATAATCATTATATCAGAAATTATTAGCTGATGAAGCCAGTTTTATGAACATATAACGGTAACCACGTCGTCGGGTTTCAAACGTCAGCTGAATTTAAATGTAATCTAAAATCGTCACCGATTGTAATAACAAAAATAATAATAATAATAAGAATGATCAAATTTTTCATAGCTATTAAAGTATTCAGTAGCGAAAACTGAGCTTATCACTAAACTGGATTTTATTTCAGAAAAGATTCCCGGACCCGTGCCGATACCAGTTCTCGGGACCAGGTGGATCTTTTCGTGGTTTGGACGCTACCAAATGGATAAAATTCACGATGCATACAAAGGTATGTTTTATTTTTAAATAAAATTTATTCACTTAAAATTATAAATTGCATATCAAAGAAATTTATATCACCACGTGTTTGTATAAAAACTTAAAATTTTTTCAAGTCAGCTCGGCTGCTCAATTTTAAAACACAGTAACTGTAAAATTTTTATACCTGATTTTTAGTAGATTTCATACAATGATAGAAGGATTTATTTGTATTAAAAAAAATTTGTTAATAGTTAACAAATCATTTATTAGAGACCACACAGAAAAAAAAATTTATTTGAATCAAATAAATAATTTTGAAGAAGATTAGCTTCTTGATTTGAGTAAAAAAATTCTCAAACTAAGAAATTTTTTTTGGCTTAACACTTGATTCTAGACAATGAAACTCTTCAAAATTATTTTCTTGGTTTAAGAATTTTTCTTTTAATTCAAGTTATTTTTTTTTGTGCACTTTTTGGTATTAAACACATATTTCTTAGTACATATAGTGATTGATTTATTTGTATATTTAATAAATCTGATATTCATTTATTAAATATCAATAAATCTTTTTAAAAACAAAGAAATATTTGTTTAATACTAAAAAGTGGTCTCTAATAAATGATTTAATAAATATTAACAAATATTTTTAACTATAAACAAATCTTATCAGTGTAGAAATTTAATTATTGCATTGGTCATTATGACGGAACGTTTGAAAAATTTTGCTATATTTCAACTTAGCTCAAGTGGATTCAGAAAATTCATATAGTTCAAAAGTTTATTTATAAATGGGATATAACGCCACTTGTCAGGACGATAGTGTCTACAATTAGCAACAGATCTTCACCAAACTTAACATACTTACTCTAGAGATAAATATCGAAGTCAAGTTCGAAGATGAGCTTAATCGGTCAAGTAATTTAGAAACGCCAGGATTTCAAAATCTTAAAAATTCATATTTCTTCACTGTCTTACTCTAATAACTTTTGAATGGGGTAATTTATTGAATCTCTGTAAATTGCATCCAAAGCTCTTTGAATAAGCTTCAATTTGAGTATCATATCATATGTGTAGTCTCAAAATTAGGTCCTATTCTGTTATGCCAATTATGAAATTTGCTATTGCAGTTTTTTTTTTATTTTTTTTTTTTTTGTATACAATCCTAGTAGTTTTTTTTCTATTCATTATGAAATCTACTGGCCTTTTGGATTTATTTTTAATATTGCTGCATTTCTTATAACTTTTAGACCTTAATTACAAGTATTTTTTTTTTTTAAATATTTATTTTCTATTCATTAATCAAATATTTTATGAATTTAGCGCGCAAATTTTTTGTTAATAAAAAAAATTTTTTATTAATCTTAAAATTTTCAGTTACTGTGTTTTAAAATTGAGCAGCCGAGCTGTGTATATTTCACAATTAAAAAAAAAATAAATTATCAATTGTAAAAATATTATTGCGTTGACTATTCAATAAAAAAGAGAAGAAAATAAAAATGATAATAATAGCAAATGATAGTACGTCTGGTACTTTCACTGTGACAATAACTTAATGTCAACAATCATTTAATTATTTGAACTATAAATCATGATTATGAAATCAGTTGTAGTATAATTAAATAAGAATTAATTTCCGGAACACTCTCAATAGTCCCAGTTACTGACCCTCGTAATATTATATTTGAATTATTCTTATTACATCCAATCATTTTAAACCTTCATATAAATTATTCATGTTTCAATACTCAACACTCATTTAAATTGACATTGAAAATTTTTTTTTTGCATTAGATGCAGCTTTTATATTATTTCATAATATTAAGATATTTTTAAACTTGATAAAAAATACCAGATCACAGTTCAACTCTTGTTATCCGGGGATTAGCAATTTTATCGATAATTGTTTATACTTAGTGATGCTAATTTTTGAGAAAAAACTCTTTAATTCATTTCTTTAAATATTAAGTTACATAAAGTAATTCATTTTAAATATTTTATCATCACGGTTTTTTTCATTAATAAAATCCGCCGAAAAATTTATCTTATCAATGACTCAATTAGGCAAGAAATTTTTTTTTTATTATCAATTTAATCCAAAAAAAAAAGAAATATAAAAAGAATCTTACGTCTTGATGAATTGTCTTCATCATCAATGAATAAGAAATATTTCTGAAAAAATTTTTCTCAAGTGTAAAACCCAATTAATCAGATTAGATAAGCAATAAATGAGGAAGTTAATAATTATAAAAATAAAAAGGCCGAAATGAAAGTAGATTATATAATGAATAGAAAAAAAAACTACTAGGATTGTATACAAAAGAAAAAATTCATTGAGAATAAGGATAAAAATATAAATAGATTTTTATGAGATATACTGAACAAATTAAAGAAAAAACGACTATAAAATTAACAACTTACAGACGAATAGATTATTTTAAGTTTAGGAGAATAAAATGGCTTAAAAATTGTTCGTTTAATCGGCTTTAAAATGCAATTTACAAAAATTCAATAAGTAATTTAATTCGATATGCGCGAAAGAATCTGCCAAAATATGAATTTTTATGATTTTGAAAATTTTGAAACCCTGTAATTTTTTAACTACACGGAAAGAACAAGATAACACTGGAATCATCCCAGATTATACTCAGTGATATCTGTGGTGAAAAAAAATTTCAGATAATAGTTAGAAAAATCCAGATTATACTGCGTAATATCTCGTCGTTCTAATTAGCAAATTGTCTAACTCCAATTTAGAGAATCTTCCATTTGTACGAAAAAAACCAATAAGTTCAAAATTTATTATTACTTTAAAAAACCATTTAATATCATTAATATCTAATAAAGGTATAATACTTTTGGTTTGAATTATTCAAATAATTTATAATTGGACTATTGCTACATCAAAATGTTAAAAAATCACCCTCTTAAAAATAAGGAGTTAGACAAATTGCTAATTAGACCGTCGATCTGGATTATACTCATTGTATTCTGGGATTATATACTCATTGTAATCGAATCCCGGAAAAAATAGACCTAGAAAAAATTTTAAAGTTACGAAAAATTCATATTATTTTAGATTTATTAAATTATTATTACTATTATAATTTTTATTTTATAATTTTTCCGATTCCATACTCATTGTAATCTGAGATTATAATCATTGTAATCTGGATTATACTAGCTACACAGTCAAAAAAAATTTTGTGTTAAAAAAATTTTATGTTAAATATTAAACACAAAAATTTTTAACACTAAGTTTTTTGACGCAATGACGCAAAATTTTTTACTGTGTACTATCTGAAGTTATTTTTCACTTAGTATAATCTGGGATGACATCCAGTGTCATCTTGTTTTTTCCGTATACTTGACCGATTAAACTCATCTTTGAACTTGGCCTTGGTTTTCGTTTAAGATTATAAATACATATATAAACTTTTGAACTCATAAAATTTTCTGAACCAGCTTTGACGAATTAAGTCAAAAAATAGGAAAATTTTTCAAAAGTTCCGTCATGAGAACAAATGCAATAGTTAGATTTCTATGAAATCTACTAAAAAATAAAAAGCTTAGTACTTGACTGATGGATCAACTGGTGACTAATCCCTGATTTAAGAGCAGACATGAATCAAAGGTACGGACCGTTGTGCAAGGAGGAAGCGCTGTGGAACCATCCAATTATATCAGTATTTTCACGGCATGACATTGAGCTGGTGATACGCCGGGGCTGCAGGTACCCGATGCGCCCACCTCAGGAGGTCATATCATCTTACCGACGATCTCGTCAAGATCGTTACACCAATCTTGGCCTTGTCAACGAGTAAGTCACGTTTATTACGTCCTTTATTCTTCCTCTGACAAACAACCAACTAACCAACCTACCAGCCAACAAACAACTTGCAATAAAAAACACAATATACAAGTGAAGGTAATTTAAGGGATAATAATACCACTTTAATGCCGAACCAATTTTTTATAATTCCAGGCAGGGGGAAACATGGCACAAATTGCGAGAAGCTCTTACGCCAGAGCTCATGGGAGCCAGCACAGTCCTCGGATTTTTCCCCGCCCTCAATCAAGTATCTGACGAACTGATTGATCTCATAAATTATCACAGGACCGGAGATACTGTCCACTCTTTCGAAGACATCGCGTATAAAGTTGGTCTTGAGAGTTAGTATCTTTTTTTTAATCAAATAAATTAAATGTATAATAATAGATTTTTAGTTGAGAAGTTAAGAGCCCAGGTATTAAAGCTAAAGTTTGTTTCTGTTTCAGCTACGTGTACGTTAATTCTCGGAAGACATTTGGGATTTTTAACGCCCAATTCGAGTTGTCTTACTGCGAGGTTGGCCAGAGCCGTGAGAATACATTTTACTGCTTCTCGCGATGCATTTTACGGATTACCGCTTTGGAAAATATTACCCACAAAGGCTTACAAACAATTGATCGAGAGTGAGGATGAAATTTACAGGTAAGTTCTCGAAGAATTTTCTTTTTCATTTATACTTACTTGTTTATTTATTATTTACTAGTAACCTTGCAGTCACAATGTGACTGCAGTGAATTGTAAACTATAAATAGTGAATTTTGTTAAATTGTACTGTACTTTGTTAACTATTGACTTTTTTAAAGATATAAGCTCATCCCAATGTTACACTTATCAAGAGCTTTCATTTGAGTACCCATATGCATATTGATATATTTTTCATATATAAATATATAAAAAATTGATGTGGGTACTTAAATGAAAGGTCTTGATGAATGTAACATCGGGAAGAGCTTATATCTTTAAAAATATCATTAGTTAACAAGATACAATGTCATTTCTTAATTGTTGATATTTTTAAAGATGTAAGCTCATCTCGATGTTACGTTTATCAAGAGCTTTCATTTGAGTACCCACATGCATTTTGATATATTTTTCATGTATACATATATATAATATATATATATATAAATATATGAAAATTGATGTGGGTACTCAAATGGCAGGTCTTAATGAATGTAATGTCGGGGTGAGCTTATATCTTTATAAATGTCAATAGTTCACGAGATACAG